CTTTTGTACTTCGCTGCGATTTGCTTTTAGAATTGAGGTACTTTTCTGGCATTTAACGAATTGTTCATGATCTCACATTATTCTAACTTAAAAAAAGAACTCACATCTGAAAAATTCCTGCAAATATCTGTAAAGTTCTGTAAAGTTGTCTGAAGCTCCGCAGTTCTATTCTCAAGATCTACGAAAAAAAACCTTGAGGCTCAATAAATTTCTCAGTAGATCTGCAAACTTCTCTGAAGTTTTGTAAATTCCTCTATAGGCTCTTGGGCTACCCTGAAGATTTGAAGATTTTCCCGAAGATCTTCTAAATTACCTTAAGTTCTCAAAATTTATCTGAAAATATTTGAGCTTCCGTGAAGTTTTAAATGTCTCTCTCAAGATCTACAAATTTCCCTGAAATCGTATAAATATTTTTTTTTAAATCGCCGACCTTCCCTGAAGTTCTGCAAATTTTACTGAAGATCCATCTGAGGTTCTAAAAATGTATCAGAAAATCTGCACACTTTCTTGAAGGTCTTAAAATTTATCTGAAGATCTATGACCATTCTTCTGGGGGTGTGACACATCTAAATCTCAATTTAAGGTGGTTGAAAAATCTCACACAAGCGAATCAATACACGACGAAACATATTTTTTCATCTCTTGCATCTAAAGCCATCTACTCACATCGCTTTCCACCTTTTTGCAGGAAATCTTTAACACTCCGAACACGATGCCTCCGGTAAAATGTGTAACGGGGCATATTGACAATGTTTGAAAAATCACTGCTCAGCAATTTATCGACAGGTTTGAAATCTATTGATACTGAATAAATCTTTAAAGCATGAAATTTCAAATGGCGTCAATAGTTTTGAAATTCGTGAATAACTGGCTGAGCTATGATTTTTCAAACATTACAAGTTTGCCGTTACACATTTTATCGGAGGCATCGTGTTCGGAGTCTTAAAATCTTCATCAATCTTTTTTCTATCTACTAAGCGTGAGCATATCTCACAACAGCAAACAAATTTTTCCCAGCATCTTAGATAGAGACGAACCCTCGCCATTGTTGTGATTTTTTCAGAAGTTCCGTAATTTTTTTTTTCAATGTTCTGTAGCTATGTTCTGAAGATCTACAAACTTTTCTGGTGTTGAATAATTTTTCAGTAGATCTCCGGACTTCTGTGGAATACTTTATATTTCACTGTAGATCCTTGAACTTGTCTGAAGTTATGCGAATTTCCCTGAAGATTTGCAAAATTTCGCTTATAGTTTTACAAATTGATCTGAATTTTTTTTAGCTTGCTTAAAGTTTTGATAATTTCTTTGAACATTTATCTAATGATCTTGTGATTTTTTTTTTTATGAATTTCTGCAAATTTCTTTTAATTTCTGTAAAATTTGCTGAAGGTTTGTAGTTCTGTTCTTAAGATCTACGAACTACCCTGAAGCTCAACAAATTTCTCAGTAGAGCTCCGAACCTCTCTGCTGTCTGGCATGCTTATTCTTATACAGTACATGCTTCGTATTATATAAACACTGTTTTGTTGACCATGCCATGATCAAAGCCATTACGGCATCTTTCGGCCAATCACACTGGAAATAAATATCAGTCAAACCATACACAGGACATTATTGAATAGTGAAATCGGTTTACCTTTCCGAATAAAAAATACCATATTGGACGTTGGTGAGCGGGCCTAATCTTATGCTTCATAGTGGAGCGTTGGAGACGGTTGGTTTAGGTCCGGCATCGTTGGATCATGCCGTGACAGAATAGCGTCATGAGCATGCGATGAGGATTACTGAGCTTCCCCTCTCTGATGAACCATTGCATAAGAGAACCAAAGTTCTAGCCTGAAGTGATAGTATCACACTTGTTACTCCTTTATTTGAAAGCCACGTTGTAGTACGCTTACGTATAGGCACTGACGTTGGGTGCGATACTGGCGGGTTTTGCCGCAAATCACTCTTATTTTATTTATTTTTACGCTGATAGATTTATTTGGGTTTGCAAGGGAATTATAGTATTGAAATATTTCAGAAAATGCCCAACAGTGCTCCTTCTACTAGCGTGACAAGCTTTCGTTGTTGTTTTCATTGAGGTTTTACTCAGGGAACAATGTTAAACACCATGTTTGTACATAGTATTGCAACTAATCTTATATGTGCTTCATTTTGATTTGGGATTAGTATTTGAGCTATGGCTCGGGATTTCCACTGTGGCGTGCTTCTATTGTGACATAACGATACGTATTTTTGTGGTGCGACATAGTGAAAATGTGTGAGCGTAGTTGAAGCATATACCCTATGTAATTTAAAAATCAGCTTGGAAACTAACTTCAAAGTGAAGCATTTTAGTCACTTGAAGGTGTCACCTGGGACGAACTAATATATATTAAATATAGGTCAGAGTCAAAAACAACTTGAAACACGTTAAATGTTAGATTACATTCACAAGTGCAGGTACTTAATAAAGCATGGTAGGTAGATTAGAGATTTCAATTATTTATTAAATTAGACTAAAGATATCATAATCATCAAACGAACTTAAATAAGAAAATTTAGACAGCCTAGTAGCATTAAGTGGATTAACAGAAGAGTTAGGATGCAGAGGGTCCGCTTACGGAGGCAACTAGCCTTTAAAGCAACTGGCAACTAGCCTTTTCATGTACTGTCTGTTTATTTTGATTATTGCTTTAAAATATCAATTTGGTATATACGTGAAAGGATGAATCAGTGGGAGATGGATTTTCGGTTTCTTTACATTTAGCATCACTATTTGTCATTTCCTCAAAACCCCCCAATAACCGGCCTCTTCAATCCCTTCCTTTTCCCATGGCGTTCAAGTGGTCCGCATAGACTATTCAGCCATTACCCGTCCGATATCCTCGGCTTTGGATTGACTTGCGCTCCCATTGCCTCACCAAACGCTGCAAAATGAAAATGAAAATGAAACTTGCGGCTATTGCTGGATGAGTCGAATGAAAATTAAACGCAAACCTATTTCGTTCGACAAATCAAACGTCAAATCTAATCATCCTGTCGAAAAAGTGTGAACGCATCCAACCATGGCATCCGACAAAATTATCGAGCAGTTCGCTCGAATCAGACAAACAAATCAGATAGTCTAAACGTACCTTTAGCGTGATGCAATATCTCAATAATCACATCCCTTTATATGCCAGAATGCGGCACGCTGCATATCCAACCTTGAACTTAACCGATACATACAATCGCTGAAGTCTTCCTCCTCCTCATTAATCCTAAATGCGCACCTCGCCACATATTCAAACCGGTAAAGATAACAAATAATAATAGCGCGTGAGTGTAGTTTGAGCCACCATCACCATCATCATCATCATCATCGCCACCTGTGTCGCTGGGAAGGGAGATCCGTTATCTCTCCTGTTATGCGTACGGTTTCCGAAATATACAGTCCGAGGCACCTCGGCTTCTGCTTACTCGATTATATGCGTCATCTACGTCCGTCCGTTCGTCCGGTCGATGCTGGGTTGCAGCGAGACACAGAGATTACGTCCGGCCTTGAGCTGGTGAACTCTGTAGCCAGTAGTGCATTCACGGAGCTTTTACACACGACGAACAAACGGACGGGACGGCACAGTTTAGAGAGCCTGGAATGGAAGCACTCGCATCGTTTGGGGCCCATGTTGAGTGTGTCTAGTCGCCGGCCTAGACAACACCCGGCCCGACCACTTTGCCGCCCACCTTAGCAGTACGTCTAGTAGTAGGTAGGTCAAACCGTTCCGTTCGCAGCCTATCATTTTGTTTCGTTCGGTCGTCGAAGCGGACAATGATATAAACTCTGCTATAATGGTATCGTCTCCTCTCTATGACTATATGCAGGAATAGGTATACATGTTTAATCTATTTAAATATTTTCACTTTCATTAGCGTGCCTTTTCGACGTCTCGTCCGTCGGTCGGTCGTTCAGTCGGTCGGTGCTGGTTTGCCATTCCGTTTCTCTAAATAATGTTGTTGAATTCATACAAGCTCAGCTCAACGGGGGTGAGGTGGGTCAAGTCAATTGAGGGTATCTCTACACTAGAATGTGCGGTATTATGCCGGCATGTTGTTACTCAATCGTTTTATCACAGAGTAGAGCGATCGTTAAGAGCAGCGTATGAGGTTGTGTGATTGTTATTTTATCGTTTCGGCTACTCACATGAACTTCACCGGCTTTCGCCGGATTGGTTTTCAGAATACATCGTGAGGAGGGGGTAAAGACATTCATTGTGGAGACGAGGTTGCAACTTTGTATATTTGTAGGCTCATACCTCTCGGAAGGCCAATATCATCGTGCGTAAAGTGCACTTTCAGGGAAAACGAGGCAGCGTTCCGAAATTTCCCACACAACCAAACCGAGACGGACGGGTCGGGGAAAAATATGCTTCGAAAAGCGCAACAGACCGTAAGAGCACGTGGTGAAGGAAGGGACCTACCTACCATGCAATCACCATTCAGAAAGAGAGTGAAAGAATGGCACGGATTTGAAGGCTGAAGGATGGCAGGGGGGAAAGTGGGTCTTGGGTTTGGGGTTCGAGGAAGAAGTTGAAAAGCACCACCAGAAGAAGCTCTCGTTTCCATTCATGAAATAATGCCGCATAGCCATCGCCAGCAACGGCGTCGACGTCGACGTCGTCGAGTCAGCTATACAACAAGCACCACCGTCGCCACCGCTGTGAGAAAAATACACACACAGCACACCATTCCATGATGGGGGAGGGGAAAGGGGTTTGAGATTTTTTATGTTTATTTTATGAATAGCCCTTGCCTCCTTGCGCCGGTAAACTTTTGTATATGCTTACCACCTCACCCCACTCGAAGCTTCTTCCGCTCACATCTATATGCACGTTCGTATATGTAAACATTACGGTTTCCGTGACATTGACCTATATCTATCGCTTTTGTTGTGTCTGCAACTTGGCGATGACGACGACGACCTTGAGATTTTAAACGAGATTACTCATGTTGATTTTCTTTCTTTTTCTCTCCTGCAGGTCAGCAAAGTATACCGATGCCGCCGCGCCCCTCCAGTAGTCACTCCCAAGTTCCAAATCAGCAACAGAATCAACTAGGTAGTAGTAGTAGTAATCTAGGCCACGGTAACCAATCGCAATCGCAGCAGCAGCAGCCACCCGACCATTCGAGAGTCGCATCACCGAATCGTCCTCCTTCCGCATCGTCAGCCGGTGGCCCGCAAGTGCAGCAACAGCAACAGCAGGGTCCCCTGCCTCTGCAAGCAGGCATGGCAGCTCAAGGATATCAGACACAACCACCACATCCGCCGCATATGCATGGCGGATACAAGATGGGACCTAGTCCCGGTGGACCAGGTGCAGGAATGCCTGGTCCACAGCAAATGTCACCATATCCGCCACACAATCCTCAATCGCAGCAGTATTCGCCACATTCGCAAGGAAGTTACTCGCCCCGGCCCCAGTATCCGGGAGGCTATGGTCCCACGCCGCCGGGTGGGCAACCGGGACAACCACCACCTCCCGGTCCTCCACCGAACAGTGTGGCCGGTGGCCCCGGTGGCTATCCCGGTCATCGCATGCCAAACCATGTTGGTGGCCCACCTCCGCACTCTCAATATCCTCCGCATCAACCGTACCAGCAAGGCTGGGGACCTCCAGGTCCTGGACCACAGGGTCCCGGAGGTCACGTGAACAATCATCAGCAGCAACCGGGCAAGGGAATGCCCCCGACCGGTGTTCCCCCGTCACCACAGCAACCGAATCAAGCACAGTCTCAACAGGGACCACCTGCCGGAGGACCTCCGCAAAGCGGATCCCCTCGGCCTCTGAACTATCTTAAGCAGCATCTACAACACAAAGGCGGCTATGGCGGTGCGCCTAGTCCAACACCGCCCCAGGGCTACGGCAACGGTCCCGGTATGCATCCTCCGATGGGTCCACCTCACCACATGGGCCCACCGATGGGTCCGACCAGCATGGGGCCACCATCCGGTACTCCTCCGAACCAGCAGGGTCCACCGGGGGGACCACCCGGAGGCCCGCCGCAGCAACAGCAACAGCACACTCCGCCACAGACCGGACCCAACAGTCATCCGGACGGGTCGCTACCACCACAGCCGCCCCATCCGGAATCGGGCCCGCTCGGACAGGACAATGGCATCAACGCGTCTGGCGGGCTGCCACATCCAGTTACCTCACTCGTTACAACGGGACCTGATGGCGCTCCTCTCGATGAAGCCAGTCAGCAGAGTACCTTATCCAATACCTCAGTAGGTGAGTGTCGGGCGTTCCAATAGGAGTGTGGGGTTTCTTTCTATTCGGCGTGTTCACCAAAAACAATTATTTTTCCTAAAATCTTTCTTAGATTTTAATCAGATTTCTGAAAGTTGTGTGCTTAACGATGCTATTGAGCGAAAAAATAAACAAATTTTAGATTTTACCCCTCAGAATTCAATGAAACATCGCATAATTGTTCGCTAGGGGAATGAATCAAGTTTGTGCTGGAATTCGACCATTTTCAGGGTGGCAAGTCAACCAGGAAAAACCGGGAAAACGTTGGGGATTTTAATAATCCACCAGGCAAATAATCGTGTGTCAATGATTTCAACAGGTTCTAAATTGGCACATATGTCAAAACTAAAAAAAATTCAAAACTAATTATTTCGTTCAAACAAAAACTTCTGCGCAACTAATAATGTGCTGCAGGTTGATCATAATTAACCTCAAGTAAGGGTTTAGTAAATGTATTTACTAAATACCGGGTATTTACCGTTCTTTTCATGATTTTTTCTCGAATCAATTGAATTAACGATAGCAAAGTACGCGTAGATCAGAATCGAGTGAAAATTGACAGCTGAATGTACTGCGGCTATTTGCTCTGAGTCGCGTTCAAGTATAATTACAGGTAGCTAGATAGACCAAATCAATCCCAGCTTTATACATTTTGACGATATGTGAATTGTGATACTGTTACTGAGATATAGTGTTTTAGAAGATACAATCAATTCGAATTTGAGTCAAAAACGACTCACTCATTTATTTTAGATCTTATCGTTCATTCGGTGAGAACGTTTTTCATATTCTTTTGAAGTACTGAATCACTTCGGAAACATTCGGAATTACTTCAGAATTTGCTGAATTACTTCAGAAAAGTTTAGAATCACTCGGAAAATTACTGAAAAACTTTCACTTCGGAAAGTACTGAATCACTCCGGAAAAGTATTAAATCACTTCGCAAGTAGGTACTACATACATAAATAACTACGAAAAGAACTAAATCATCTTAGAAAAGTTTGCAGTCACTTAAAAAAGTACTGAATAACTTTATGAAACATAGGAATCACTTTTGAGAAACTCGGAACCACTTCGGAAAAGTTTGGAATTATTTCAGAATGTACTGAATCACTTCAGAAGAGTTTGAAATCACTTTGGAAAGTACTGAATCTTTCCGGAAAAGTTTGAAATCACTTCCACAAGTACTGAATCACTTCGAATTGATCAAAATAATTTTAGAGAAGTTTGCAATCATTTAACAAAGCATTGAATAACTTCATAAAACATCGGAATCACTTTTGAAAAACTCGAAATCACTTTGGAAAGTACTGAAACACTTTAGAAATGTTCAAAGTCACTTCGGAAAGGACTGAATCATATTGGAAAAGTTTGGAATTACGTCAGAATTTACTGATACATTTCAGAAGAGTTTAGAATCACTTTGTACTGATAAACTTTAGAACATTTTGGATTCACTTCGGAAAGTACTAAATCATTCCGAGAATGTTTGAAATCACTTCCGGAAGTACTCAATCACTTCGAAGAGAGATGAATCATTTTAGAGAAGCTTGAAATCACTTACCAAAATACTGAATAACTTCAGAAAACATCGGTATCACTTTTGAAAAACTCGGATTCACTTTGGAAAGTATTGAGTCATTTCGGAAAGTACTGAATCACTTCGAAAAGAACTAAATAATTTTTGAGAAGTTTGCAATCACTTAACAAAGTATTGAATAACTTCATAACACATCGAAATCACTTTTGAAAAACTCGGAATCACTTTGGAAAGTACTGAAACACTTTAGAAATGTTCAGAGTCACTTCGGAAAGGACTGAATCACATTGGAAAAGTTTGGAATTACGTCAGAATTTACTGATACATTTCAAAAGAGTTTAGAATCACTTTGCACTGAAAAACATTAGAACATTTTGGAGTCACTTCGGAAAGTACTAAATCATTCCGAGAAAGTTTGAAATCTCTTCCGCAAGTACTCAATCACTTCGAAGAGAGATGAATCATTTTAGAGAAGTTTGAAATCACTTACTAAAATACTGAATAACTTCAGAAAACATCGGTATCACTTTTGAAAAACTCGGATTCACGTTGGAAAGTATTGAGTCACTTCGGAATGTACTGAATCGCTTAGGAAAAGTTTTGAATTACTTCAGAATTTGATGAAACACTTCAGAAGAGCTTAGAATCATTTTGGAAAGTACTGACAAACATCAGAAAAATCACTTTGAAACGTATTGAATCATTTTAGAAATGTTCGGATTCCCGTTGAAAAGGATTGAATCATTTAGCAAAAGTTTGGAATTACTTCAGACTTTACTCAATCATTTCAGAAGGGGTTAGAATCACTTTGGAAAGTACTGAACAACTTCAAAACATTTTCGATTCACTTCGGAAGCTTTCAGGAAAAGTTTGAAATCACTTCCGCAAGTACTCAATCAAAAAAAAAAAATTTGAAATCATGCAAAGTTAGTACTCAATAACATCAGAAAATATCGGAATAACTTTAGAAAAACTTGGAATCACTTTGGAAAGTACTGATCCATTGTGGAAAGTTCGTAATAATTTCAGTACGAACAGAATTATTTCGAAAATAATTGAATCACTTAGGAATGCACTGAATCACTTCAGAAATGTTCGGAATCACTTCGGGAAATACTGAATAACATCGACAATGCTCATAATCATTGCGGAAAGTACTGAATTCTTTCAGAAAATACTCAATCATTTCAGAAAGTTTGTAATCACTTTCGCAAGAACTGAATCACTTTAGAAATTTCGGAATTACAGAACATTTATGAAGTGATTCAGTTCTTTCCAAAGTGATTTTGATTTTTTTTTTCTGGAGTGAATCAGTACTTTTTCAAGCGTGCAATACTTTTCTATGCGAGTCCATACTCATGACGGGTAGTGTATATGTAAATTATGCACATAGACTTCATCTTTGGATATGCTTCGCTTCTATGGACATTGTTTCAGTTGGGGTTGAATTAGTGAATAAAAGGATCTTAACTTCAGGACGATTTTATGAAATTTGAACACCCTATGTACTAAGCAGTTTGAGCAGGGAATCGGAAAATCGGGAAAACTTGGAATCACTTTGGAAAGTACTGAATTCATTGTGGAAAGTTCGTAATCATTTCAGTGCGAACAGAATTGGTTCGAAAATAATTTAATCACTTATGAATGCTCTGAATCACATCAGAAATGTTTGGAATAACTTCAGCAATTTCGGAAAGTACTGAATCATTTCAGAAAGTACTGAATCACTTCAGAAAAGTTTGGAATCACTCTTGCACTTAGCAGGGGGTGGCCAGGGAGTCGGAAAGTCGGAAAAACCGGGAATAAGGTAGGAAATCGTAATCACCGGTAAAGGCCGTGAATTACGATGACAAATCGGGGAAATAAATGTATACTCATGGTATATTTTCAGGATATTGTCGCTTTGAAGAATTATGAGCTTTTTGAAGGAATCCTAGGGATAACACCAACGTTATAGGATTAGGCTAAGCGGCAAGTTAGTTTTGACTTGAACTGCAGGGCAGTTTTGAAAAGAGCTCCAAATGAAATTTAAGTAGAGTTCTGAGTGGAAGTTTTAGATAGTTCTGAGAAGGATTCCATGACGATTGTGAGGATGATTCCAGGTCCATTTCAACTTATTATTTCAGATAAATTCTGAGACAAATTTCAATGAGGGTTCCAAGAAAATTCCGCAAAGGACTTTGAGGCAATTGAATGCTGAGAATAGTTCCTAAATAATTCCGGACAAATTCGAAGGAAATTTGGAGGATAATTCCAAGTGGATTCTAGAACGAATTCCAAGGGAATTTTGAGAATTGCAAGGAAATTAAATTTTGAGAATACATTTCCCAAGGAATTCAAAGTGAATCTCAATCAAGATTGTTTTATAATGGTCTGCAAGGAAGGTTTGTACTGTTATAAAGAAGACTATAGGGGAGACTCGGATTTTAATTTTAGCTAAATTTATTGAGAACATTATATAAAAATCCTGTTACGGTTTGTAACCCTTCTTCGACTCAATCGCATTCTGTTGCATGCATAATTTGAATGTATCTAGCAGATTCCGGAAAAATGTTCAAATTCCTAAAATAAAACGGAAAAATCGAAAAACTGATAATCGGTATTTGCTGGTCACCATAACTAAGAAATAAATCGTAATTGATGCGCATAGACTCCATCGATTTGTTTTGACATGTTAAGTTGCTAGGGGTATCGTTTTGAAGAATTTAGAGCATTTGTTATGCATGGTCGGAATGAATTTGTAAATTATGCGCATGCGACGACTACCTGAAAACAATCTGGGACATCAAGGAATTCCAGGGAATTAAATTTTTTATCTGGAAAATCAGGCAACCTCATGGAATTTCTTTTAAATTCTGGAAAATATTCCAGAAAAATTGCGGGAACCTTCAGGGAATTCCAAGAATTTAAAGGAAGTTCCGGAAACTTCAGGGTAGTTCTGAGAATGTCCCGAACTATGGGGAAGCTTTAAAGTCCTTTGTGTTAGGTTCCGATATCTTTAGGGCACTTCCATAGATTTTACGCAAATTTCGAGAACTTTACTGAAGATCAAAAGCTTTAGGGTAGTTCTGTTAAACTCAGGGAAATTGCAAAAGTTTTACAGAAGTTGCCAAAACTTCATTTGAGCTTAATGATCTTAAGGGAGGTTGTGTAAACTTTGGGCAGCTCTGAGAACTTCAGTGCAGTTTCATTGATAACCGGAAAATTTCTGGAGCTTCAGTGTAAATTTCAGGAAATTAAAGGCAGTTCCATTCAATTCAGCAAAATGGCGAAAACCTTCAAGATGTTCCGAAGATATCCCAGATATCATCAGGGAACTTCAGAGAACTTTAGGAAAAAAATCCGAAACTTCACAGAAATTTCAAGAAATTCACAAATCAGCAGAGAACTTCGGGATATTCAGAGTTCTTTAAGGCAGTTTTATCAATTTCAGGGAAATTCTAGGAATATCATCGAGGAACGAGAGCTTCAGATGTGTTTCAAGAAGTTCAGGGTGGTCCTCAGTATTTTTAGGAACTATAAAAAAGTTCCGATTAATGAAAGGATCCATCGGAGATTTTCCGGGAAACTCAGACACCTGAAAGACAGTGCCAATAAACTTCAGAAAAGTCCAGACTTTCCGGAAATTTTAAGGTTGTAATGATTTTTTAAGATTACATTATTTATTTTTTTGGGATATTCAAAGATAAAGATCTGTCAATTTCAGGAAGGCTCAGAGATTTTCAAGGAAGTTTAAAGATTTTTAGGACAACTTCATTTCTTTCTGGGCAGCTCCAATAACGTCAGAAGAATCAGGAAGATCAGTGGTCCTCAGGGCAGTTCAATTAATTTCAAGGAAATTGCAGAAATTTTACAAAAGTTTCAAGTAACTCAGGAAATTTCCGAATACTTCAGTAAAGTTCCGAGATCTTAAAGGATGCCCAAAGAACTTCAGGGAAATGTTGAGACTTTTCGTCAGTTTCATTTTTACAGGGGTGTTCCGAGTACTTAAAAAAAAAAGATCAGAGTACTTCAGAGCAGTTTAAGATGTTCCAAGGAATTATGAAAAAATCCAAGAATTTCAGGAATGTTCCAGAAAAAATAGGAAAATTGCGGCGGACGATGAATATCAGGAAAATTGTAGGAACGATAGAGCAGTTGCGAGAACTTCTTGAAAATTTAGCGAACTTTATGAAGAAACGAATGCTTCATGCAAGTGCGAGAAATTCAGATAAGTTTAAATAATTTAAGGGAAGTTTCATGCGCTTCAAAGAGGTTTCGAAAACTGCTGGAAAAAATAACTTCTAGGTCGTTCAATTAACTTCAGAAAAATAGTTCTAAGAAATTCAGCGATCTTTCGGGCAGTTCCAATAACTCCAGAAATGCACCGAAAAATTCAGAAAAGTCTTTCAGGGAACTTGAAATATCTCGAAGAATTAGTAATTCGTTTCGGCTTCTAAGTCGTATTTATGAAAAGTGTTGATTGCAGTTTTATCATCGCCACAGTTTAGATCCGGGGATTATCAGGACTAGATTGTAAAGCGTTTCAAAAGAGGGTGCAACTTTATATCCCCTAGAGAAGGCCGAGTTCATAGACTGAAACTTCGGACATTTAAAATCGTAGTTTGAACTGAAAAGCCAATATTCGAAAACTTGTGATCCATTATTGAGGGTTATCCATAATTGTGGGGTTCGTGTAGGGTAAGGTGGGGCAAGATGGGTCACGGGTCAAGATGGGTCATTTACCTAATTTATTAATTTTATTGACTGTCAACATCGACCCAATGCTCCAATGCTGATTTCAACAATCAATAAATTAACAAATGAGAGTTTTAAAACGCTGCTAATCCTAAAAGGAATGTTTGAGCAGATTTTGCTTTAAAATAGGCCCCTCCTCAAATTTTCAAGTTCATGGGAGCTCAAAAATTTTCAGGATTCTAGAAGTAGAGCTTTCAACAATTTTCGATATTTAAATCTTTGAAAAAGTTTCAATCAATTGCAAACAGTTTGGACATTATTTTCCCCTGCGGATTTCTCCTTATTTGAACATGTAACAATAGTATTTGATTGTCTGCTTGTGCCTTGTAATTTGCATCCTTTACATTACATTCCACCTTTTCCCCCTTTCTTTCTTCCGCCAGCTTCCGGTGATGAGCACTGCACGACGCCGAAATCGCGTAAAGGCGAACTCTACAACCAAAGTCACCTGACTAGCACGCCGACGACCGCGTCGCCCGGACCGCACAATCAGCACGAAGACTTCGAGATGAACTCGCCCACACCCTGGCAACGGACGCCAGCTAGTCCAGTGAGTATAGTAACGGCCAGCGCCAGACCACCAGCGCTCAACAGCAGCACTCAGCGTGCCGTCGCCGCCAGCAAAAGTAGTTCTAGTAGTAGACGGTTGCTGTCGCCTTTTTCGCCGCCGCCGCCGCCGCCGCCACCACTATCGCCGTGCCCGTACCGCTCTTCGCGTTCTCCCCCGGTTGCGACGCCGCTGATGATGCCATCCGCGTCCTCCGCGGCTTCGGCTTCGGCAGCGGCTGCAGCAGCCCTTGTCGCTGCGTACTGGTACTCCTACTCCTCCTATACCACGCCGCCCACGTCCGCGCTGTCCTCGCACGTCGATCAGACGACGACGATGCTGATGACGCGCCGGCCGCCGTCGGTTGCCAGTCGTAGAAATGTAGATACAATCTCTTCTCACTTTCTCACTCTCTCTCTAGATTTGTCCTGTTGTGCCGCGTTATAGCCGAGTTTATGTGTAAAATCCTTGTTGTATTATTTCCCAATTGGTTCTAGGTTAATCCACATATTAGCAAATCCCTTCCGAAGATAAAATTTAAGTATCTGGATTTCAGTTTCAACCCCCCTTTGGCGACACCCCTTTCCAGATCCCCTTTTGGTAGGAAAATCAAAAGCATCAGAACAAAACAAAAACCATAGGCGCAGTTTGGGAGTTTTACTTTTTACTTATTTTAGACGAAATTTGATTTTCGCCTTCTGCCTCGCATAGTCCGGGATAGTCAGTAACTAAAGCTTTTGCTCTTTTACTTCTTCTATTTCGTTCTTTTCACAGGTATTTAACAGCCACGTTCCTCCCACGGAGACTCCTTTTAGATCGACTAAGGTTAATATGAATTGATACTTTTGAAAATTAACAGTTTTTTTTTGTTTGGTTTTGGTAGTCTTAGCAAGTCGTTCATATTGAGTTCGTTTTCATTTTTTTCTTAGAATTTCCATTTCGGTGTGAGATAATGTAACATTTTCATTTTCCTTCCATTAGTTTGTCTACTAAAATGTGGTGTGGTTGGTTGTTTTCAGTTATGGGTTTTTATTTCCCTATGTTGTGACGTTGAAAGTAATGATTTTGTCTTGTTTTACAGAAATCTGACAGTTTAAACAAGTTATACGACATGGATGACAAGCCGGAGCGAAGGCCCTGGCTGGACAAGCTGCTAGCCTTCATGGAAGAGCGGCGAACGCCGATTGCGGCCTGTCCCACGATCTCGAAGACACCCCTGGATCTGTACAAGCTGTATGTCCTGGTGCAGGAGCGCGGCGGTTTTCTTGAGGTGTGTAAGGTGAGTTTGTCTATCTAGACTAACAGTACTAACAGCCGGGTGGTGGGTCTTTTCCGTATCAATGTGGGGTACAACACGGCAACACCGGTCCAAACTCTATCCCTGGATCGGTTCGTTGTCAATGGGTTCTCTCGTGCAAAAAACTAGAATCTCTTTACTTCCCAATCGTCACTAAAGGTTACCAAGAGCAAAACGTGGAAGGACATCGCTGGAATGCTCGGCATCGGTGCTAGCAGCAGTGCAGCGTACACGCTGCGAAAACACTACACCAAGAATCTACTACCGTTCGAGTGCAAGTTCGATCGTGGCGGTATCGACCCGGCACCTATCATTGCCCAGGTCGAAGCCGGTTCCAAGAAGAAATCGAACAAAACCACTTCGGTCCCCTCTCCGGGTAGGTCACAAAACGCAAACCGCTCCGGAAACGGTTTCTCACTGGTCCCCTTTGTTGTCTCTTCTTCCTATTGAAGGATCATCCAACTCGCAAGACTCGTTCCCAGCGCCGGGAAGCAGTAGCGCCTCGATGGATGGCTACGGTACGTATCCGGGCGGTGCCGCTCCTGGTGGTTATCCTCCCGGCTCGACACCTGACTATTCGCAGCAGCCCCCGCAGCAAACGGGACCTGGTCAGCAGCCGCCAGCCGGTGCACCACAACAACCGCCGGCACAGCAGAATCTTCAGCGACCTCCATCGCAGCAGAGCGGAACCCAATCTCCTCATCCAGGTGAGACTATGCGCTGTAATTCAAAATACGTCACACGTCGTCCGACGACTTCATTCGCTTCGATCATGATCGTTACATTCACTTCTTCCTCCTAGTTTTAAGGTAGCCTTAGCGTACTCTTAACAAACCCTACTAACCCCAAGATCGTAGAATTATAATGTTGCTAATGCTGCAAGCGTGCCAGATTTCCCCAATCGTAGTGTGGCATTCTTTCGGCATTTATAGACGAATGCGCTTATAATTCTTGACTGGGATCGAAAAAGCTAATCTAGACGAGCGGCTTGCTTGGAGAGCGAACCAGGAAGCAGCTCTCCAAACAGGCCCTCTCTAATTCACTCTCCACCGTTCGTCTCGCATGCAGAAAGGTGCCTGGCAGGAGTAGTAGCTCTTCGTTTCCGGAAATCGCACCCAGTGATTTGTTTTTGGCAATCATGCGACTAAAAAGCTACGAAAAGCTACTAGCCGAGAGTGTTTGTAGACCTATGTTTATCATTCAAGTTATTTCATCATTATCATCATTATCCGCGCGTTACTTGCGTCAAATGGGTGAAATGCTTCCGAAAATCAATTATAGCCGAACATCCGAAAATCAAGAGATTAGATTAGCAGATCAGAAATTGACAACTTACTTCTCAAAAAGATTGTGAACTACGCAACTATCGTAGACTGTGACAGATATAACCGCATTCGTTACATTTAGACATTTTTGCCTTTTTCGTACGGCGTTGGCTGAATCGAATGCAATTGGAGCGGTTCTAGATTGTGTGTGTTTCAGCTCCGGTAGAACTTTATCAAAGTATATCCCGATCGGACATTTGGTTCCGGACATATGACCAAAATAGTGAAATTTTTCAATAATAGTAATACTCATTCACTTTTTTCGGTGGTGGCTGAACCGATTTGAGTTCAACTGGTTTCATTTTGCTTGCTATTTCTGAAAGAAACTCTACTTAGCTACATTCCGATCGGATGTCTGGTTCCAGAGATATGATTAAAATAGTGGAATCTTTTAATAAAGCAGTTATATTCACTCACTTTTGTCGGTGGTGGCTGAACCGATTTGAGTGCTACTGGTTCCATTTTTTATATTTATTGCTAAAAAATCCTTATTATTATTATTACTGATATTTAATATTCGATAATGAGAGTTGACCAAAATTGTGAAATTTTAAAATATAATAGTAGCTGGACCGATTTTAGTGCTACTGGAAATTTTCCAACAAAACCTTGATGTACTCTTAAACCCCTAACATAAAAAACAACCTCATTTAAATTCAAAATCAGAATAAAGAATCAAAACTGGAGTTTGCGGGGTTCAAGCTGTTATGATAGTTTTAGCATTTTTCTGTATCAGATGTTGGCGTTTGAGAGTTAATCCACCTACCGGTGACAAGTGCATTTCTCGTATATTGTCAAATAGCTTAATTTTTTCACTATTGGTGAGGTACCTACCGGAACTTACCTGATTTTTAGTATAAAAATACTGGTTTCCTTTTGGCTGGTAAATGAGTAAATGCTATTCAAAATTATGTATTGTTTGCAGGCATGGGAAATCATTTACATTCATTTGCCTCTAACTTTTTTTTATCAACATCATTCCACAAAATGATGTACAAAGCTATTGTAAGTTTTTCTTATTAGCTACAACTTCTGCCCATAACTCAAAACTGTATCTCTTATGCAACATGAATTAGAGCGGACAGAACTTGTTACTGTTTTTCAGTGAATGTAAAATACATTCACTGAAAAACAGTAGTGGCTTCTGTTCGCTCTGGTTCGTCATGCGTAAGAGATACGGATTTGAATTGTTTACAAAAGTTGTAGTTAATGTAAACCTACAACAGCTTAATACATCATTTTGCGGAATTCGGTTGATGAAAAAAGTTAGGGGAAAATGAATGTAAATGAATGCACGAAATGAATGCAAATGATTTTCCATGCCTGATTGTTTGAGAAAAAATATATTTCACAAAAATGTAACATTTGGCTCAATTGGGTTATTTTTCTTTTATTTTAACGTTGGTCTTTGTTCCGAAATCGAGTGCCAATTTCCTACACTCGACAAACTCTTCACGTCCATGCTACATGAAACATCACGTAGCCCTGCCAAATTTTGCTTCTATGTGATGCACGTAAATTCTACGTGATTGTTCTGTTCTGTTATTTCTTTAATTTCACATAAGCGTCAATAGAAATTCAGATAAAAGTTGCATGATTTTCAGGTCCAATGAGTTAAAGAGTATTTCACGTAAATGGCTAGAGATATGCTAGTATGAAAAATCAATGCAAATCAATGTGGCGGGGATGCAGCGTTGGTGTCAGTTTGCTGTGATATCTTATTTTCATTGAAATCTCTTAAATCGAGATTTAGAAACCGATTTGCAAATACCAAATTATTGACTGGACAGGGTTTATTTCGGTTCCTGTTAGCATATAAAAATATGTTACATGGTGGCCACTGAACCGGCAAAACCGGAAGAACCGGGAATCGAAAACAACCGATGTAAACCGGAAAATATACCGGAAATTAATCGAATTTTGTCAATTAAAATTATAAATTCGATGTTTCGAATATTTCTCTTTGAATCTAGCTTTTTTCTTCAAGGTCGGCATTCTCAACGTTTTCTTATAACCGTGGCAAAATACTATGCGCAGTTCCTAATGACTGTGCACTAATGCAATTTTAATACAGGGTTGCCAGCAAACCGGGAAATATCCGGGAATTCGAAAAGTAACCGGGAAGACTGGGAAAAATCCAGGAGTTCGGCGGGAGAACCGGGAAAAATAAATTAACCATACCATAGGAACAAAGTTTACACCAGAATTTCAGAATAAACCATTAAAACAGAGTGATCCTTTACCAAATGAATGTCTTGCTCTATGCAGCAATAATTTTCTTCACTTTCCCGTCTTATTGTTTTTACAATTTAATCACTCGGCAATATTGCAAATTGATTTTTGTCGTTTCAATTTCAGTTGTAAAGTGCATGGTCCTTTAAAGAAAATATTGAAGATGCTGGACTTGGGAAACAAATATTTGTAAAAACCGAAACTGAATTATTCTTTTCCGGTGTTTTAATTTTTCGATGTTCAAAATTCTCATGATATGAATTTCAGAATTAACGTGGAATTCTGCTCTGAATTGTCTTGAAATTGTTCTGAAATAAACCAGAAAACACTCCGCGTAATAATTACCGTTGAATTATTTGTGGAATTCCTTGTGGAATTTGGAATTGGAAGGGGTTTTCTAAGAATTTAATTAAAATCCTTCTAAGAATTTCCTTGCGCGTGATCCGGAGACTTTGATTCCTTTGAAAATTTATTCGAAAAATTCTTTTAACTCTATTCAAAATAGCAGAAATCTTTCGAAATTTTATTTAGAAACTCCGTAAATAATTTCTTTCTAATTATCAGCAAATATTTTTGCAATCAATTTTGTTGGAGTTCTGTGATGGATTTTTCGCACTAGGGTTGAAATTATTGTCAAAACACTCTTTGTTCCGCCTACCGCCGAAAGAGAGGAGAAAAACGTCGACCAATCAGCAACGAGCAAACGGTCGGTGCCGTTCTATAAAAATCCCCGCAGTAGCGTGGTTAAGGAGGTAGTACACTTTGAACGTCCAAAAAGTAAGGCATTTTCGTTAATTTTTTTTAGCAATAAAACACTCAGGGAGAGCAAATATGTTATAACCCATTTATTAGTCATCCTTCGAACTACAATTTGTATTTTTTTGAACTCGATTGGCGTCTCCCCGTGGCGTCCTCGCGCGGAAGTCGGAAAACGACGTGGGAAAATACTCCTTTCTATGTGATCCTGGAACATAAATCGAACAAAAATCCTGATTAGTAATGGAATTTGGGTTAGAAATACGTATTCCGATTTTTTTTAAATTAATTTTTTCAAAAGTTGTGGCCTTAGGAAAAAAAAGTCAATTTTTTCACCCTAAAAATGCTTACAAAATCGTGGATTAAAAATCCATTTTTGACAAAATTGAAAATGTGGATACGTATTTCTAAGCAGAATTTAATTCTGATCAAGAAAACCTAGGCGATATCCAAATTTGATGATAACTGGTTAGAGATATTTCCCACGCCAGTTTGAAAACCCCCGTTTCGAGATAAACGCGTTTAAAGATAAAATTGCTCTCTCAGCGCGCTGGTACATGTTTTAGGAAATCGCTTCGTAAAGCGGTAAGGAATATTCTGGCGGACTTGGAGTCTTTTATAAATTAAAGTATACATCCCAAGGAACATTTTAAGCCAAAAAAAAAATGCATTTTTTTTTTGAAAAATCAAAGTGTACTCCCCCCTTAAGTTTAAGTTTGAATCCAACCGAGCATCCGTTCGCAGCAGCAGCAGCTTTCACCTTGTATCGAGAAACGAAGAGAAATAAACAGTAGTGTCTAGTGTAGTCGGCAGCATTCGTCATTTCTACTGCATGTCGATTGGTGTCCCGGAGAGCAGCATCAAACCCCCCAGCTCTTTTCAGAGCTCCTGAGTTTAGAACTTCGATTGACGCTAGCCAACTCCGTTCGCTCCCGCCCAGTACAGTCCACTTCACCTTGACAAAACCAGTTCAGAGGGAACACTCTTAGAACTCTGTTTCTTGTTGAATTCTGATCATAATTCTCTTGGAATTCTTCTTAAACATCATCTGTCATTTTCCTCATGAATAACGTAGGAATTTTCCGCAAAGTTTTGTTTTTCACAATTCCTTTTTAAATCTTCTAAAATTACCTAACAAATTTAATTTAGAACATGCATTCTTCTGCACAGAAATCCCTCCTAATTCAGCAAACAATTTCTAAGGATTTCATGTCAGAATAATTCTGGAATTCTGCTCAGAACTTCTCCTCACAAAACTGTGTGGAAATCCTTCTCAGTATTTGTTTGAAATCAGCACTTTGATTTCTTTTAAATTTTACTAAAAATTCCAGGGTTTGTCCGCTAGATTCTATAGATTGTTCTGTAATTTGTTATAACCCTTAAAATGCTTCCAA